TATATCGATTTTTATCGATTTGATAGTGGACAAATGAGAATAATTGAGGAATTAATTTTTTCATGAAATCAATTGAATTTTTAATCACGAAATTCCGCGAAGTTGAGAAAAAAAATGGGAAAATTGGGGATTAATCAACGTGATTGTCCCATCTCGTTTTATCTATCTCGCTGAAAGTTCGATAAAATATTGATAAAGGAAGGCCACGAGAAAAACTAATCACTGGGGCATGAAGAGAAGGCTGGGCTTATATAGATACTGATGGAAACATGAACGCCAGGTGATTGCACATCGAGTAGACAGAGAATTTGCGCCGACGCTCGGGGTATTATGGTCGGCTTTTAGTGGTTGTGTTACTCCAAGGGTGGGTACAAGAGAGACCAAGAGAGAGTGAGGGAAAGTGAGGGAGAGGGTGGGTTACAGAAAAACCAGGGGGATGAAAAGGTGGGAGGGTTGAACTGTGATCATGCAAGAGGCCTCAGTCGACGCGCGAGAGTTTAGAGGTACCGACCTCTCAATTCGTTCTTCCTTCATCACCAAGAGGTGCCCATCTTAAATTCAATATCAATACCTTTTCAATACCTTTTCACTTCAATCGTTTCAATCCAGTACATTCGATTTACGCACACAAAAATTATCCAACAATTACGCGAGAATTCCCTAATCCTCTGGCATAATCTGAAGGAGTACATTAGGATTTCGGTTTTTTCGGGATGAATTTTAGATAATATCTCAGAATTGAAGTGAGATTGTGATATTCTCGTCGGAATATTTTTTGTAGATCACATTCTTGTCTGGAAAAAAGGTAGAGGCAAGGATATCGCTAGCTTGTTTCAATTCCGAGATATTAACTGAAAATTGGCAACGAGAAAATTCACTTGTCCTGGTTATCCACTTTGCTGCATAAATTTCATTTCGTGGAAAATTATGGGGGAAACCTGAATTTTTGTGGGAGTGTCGCGTTTTATTTTTCTGGATCGTCACGCAAAAAGTCAGGGGAAAAATACGTGGAAAATTTCAGGTTTGTCCCGTAATTACTCATGAAATTACATTTAGCCTCAGGATTATGGATTCAACGTATAATTGAAATTGATTGAAATCGATCCATTAAAATTTTAATAACTATAGTAATATACTCTTTTTAGAGACAAGATATACTACATTCCATTTTTTTTTCGTGTGTTCCTTATTTTGCCTATCCATCTATTTCCATTCGTAATTCTATGATTTTTTATGATTTTCTTTAGTACGTTCTCTAGTGAAGTGTGAGGAAAGATAAGTCTGGGATCAAGTCACAAGGGATTCCAAGGGAAATATCAAAAGACTTCTTTTATAGATAATTCAATAAACTCGGGTGAAGTCACCTGTCGTTTTCTAAAAAAAAAATAAATTCCAAAAATAATTTAATACTTAACAAATATCACAGGCGTTGAAACCAAAAAAAAATATATATATTACATTATTAGATTGTTCATAATTAATGAGGATAAATATTGGACGATTTGTTTATCGATTTTCCTCAATTTAATTTCAGAAACCCTCATTAGAGATAATTTCGAGATAAATGACATGTGCACATCGTATATCAATCGAGAATTTCTCGTTACCCTAAGCAAATATCTCGTTAATGAATTCTTCCACGTGAAAAGGTTAACAGATTTTTCCCGGTGAAATTTACCTCTAAAACGAGGTTGTCCAATGGTTTCCTCTATTAGCTGAATAATCTCACGAGATTTATTGAATCATCTCGAGTTCTCCAACCCCTCGAACAGAATTACACTTTTACATTTGTTCCCTCACTTATTCATGGACGAATGGAAAATCGAAATAGTCCGTGTGCCATCGACGGAGGGAATTTACAAATTGAAAAGAGGAAATAAGAAAAAAAAAAAAAGTAAAATCCTGAGCTTGCGGATTTGTTTTGGGTGGATGGGTCGTTGCACTCTGCCTCTCATTTACCTTCCACTCATACTCTCAATGTATTTTCTCTCTCTCCTTTCTCATACTCTGTCTCACACTCTCTCTCTCTCTCTCTTTCTCTCTCGGACCATATTGTTGGGGTTGAAATGGCCCTCGGTACCAAGTAGACTATCGATCTTCAAACTGTTGGGGTAAACTGCACAATGAGAAACTATTTTTAGACGTACAGAGGTGAAATTAAAGAAATGGGTGAGAATTAAATATCGGATGATAACAATTCTCTCTCTCTCTCTCTCTCTCTCTCTCTCTCTCTCTCTCTCTCTCGCGTTGTCGAGTTTAAATGGAATTCTAACGGTTGAAATAACGATTGGAGTTTTCACTCGAGTTTTGTGGATGGGAAAGAGACGATGGGGTATTGTTGTTAAACTAGTCGTGCAGACGACACGAGGCCGGAAACCAGAGCTGTCTACCCACCTGTCGATACATCCATTTTCAACTCAATGGGAGAAAACGAAGAATTGAGGAAAATCTAATTCCGTGCTAATGAACGGAGAATTCTTTTTGTTTTTTTTTTTTTTTTTCATTTGATGTTTAATACGCTTTTGTTGAAGTCCCTTTGTGCTGTTTTTTTTTAGTTATTTTTTTTTTCTTTCAATTCTTTCCCAGTGGTTATTTTTCACTTGATGCATTTTGTTCTGCTCGTTGAATGAGTCTAAAATATTCTTTTCATTGTTCTCAAGTGTAAAAGGCGTTTGAGGGGAAAATGTTCGCTGCTATGGTGCTCAGCAAATACTCCAGACAGAGTACTAAATCCAATGATAATCATCGTCGTAATTCGAGCAAAAAGTTTAGTAATCGTACGAATCTTATCAACAATAATGTCATCAGTCTTATTGACAATAATCGTATCAACGACAGCCACGTGATCAATCGTAATCGCACGTTTGGAGCTACACCGGTGAGTGATTATCGGTTTTACTCCCCTATTTGTCACTTCAATTGTTGAAGAATGATAAATTTTCACTTATCAAGAGGCTCGTTGCAAGGAAATAAATGTGTCAGGTTTTTCTAGGCTGAAATTGAGTTGTTCCATCAGAATAAATTGAGGAAAAAAATGTTTAGATGTCCATTAAAAATACATCTGACAATTTTACCTAAATCGCATAATTACACAGATATCACATAATGATTAACACAGCGATAGGTAAACAAGTAAAAAATGATAAATCATTCTTTAGGAGATAAGAAAATTCCTTGGTAAAAAATGTAGTACCCTCTCCCTTGAAAAAAAAATCACCGCTGCGTGCATATCGCGTGATCATCTCCCAAACGAATAGTTAGAAAAAATATCAAGCTATTCTTGTAGCCCCTAATTAACCACAAAAAAAACGATGCCAATGATTTTCAACGCTCTCTCATATCTCGAATAATTCTTGAATGCGTGATTGAGGAAAATGAGGGAATAAAATTGCTGCCCCCAAAATGTCACAGCGATTATATTGATGCAATGTGAGTAATTCTCGCACTGGGGATGTTGTTATTCTGTTACCACATGCTCCGACCTTTCTCAACTCTCGAATGCCGAGCAAAAACATTACATTTACCCAAATAAAAATTCAAATTGAAATCTCTATTTTTTTTCAATATAGATTCGGAAAGGTTAAAAGTTGGTGCTAAATCTTGCACTCTCGTCATCTTATAAATTCCAAACACTCAAAATTCGTCGTCAATTAATCAATCAGCTAATTGATTTAAATGAATTAATTAAGGGGAGACTCTTGATGAGCACATTGTTTTTGGAGCTCTTATGCAAGATCACTTTCTTACAATTAATAATCTATCCCATTTGATTAAACTTGTTTCATTCTCGGTCTGTATGTAACAATGCAGCTTTATTTTTTATTCTGAATGCACGGTGACGATATGCAAAAGCGAGACCAACCGAAACATACCGAGTTGATCCGAGGGTCTATCGCGATAGCCATGCAACTCTTCCCCGTCGTTACCCCACCTCATCCCTGGGCTGTTCTTCAACCCGTCGGTTGTGTCGCCTTTCACTTGGCCATTCCGCTATACCAATCCAGGCCCAAGTCATGCTTCAGCAACCATACTCAACTTTTGTCCATTGCGAAAGCAACTTTGAAAATCCTCCACTGCCTCACCTTTGTCTTCCACTATTTCATTTTAATCACATTCATCATTCCTCCAATTATTTTCACGTGACAATAATGGTAAATAGCACAGAAGAGGTTGATGACTTGTTATTACGTTAGAGACAAACACATTTTTTTTTCCTCTTTTTCATTCTGTTTGACAGAAGGTGAATTGAATGAATATTGATTAAAACGGGATAATTCCATTTATCTCGACTCGTTCGGTTATATAATAATTGTTGCAGTAATTGCAGTAATGAATGATGCAGGAGTTAAATGTCAAGATAATTCGTTGTGAGTTTCATTGGATATGAGAGACGCAATCTGGATTATTGCGTAATTAATAAAACTTTCGGAATTTGACGCGTGGAAGTTAGTGAAATTTTGAGGGTTCATAGAGGTCGATTCAATGAGGTAAATTCCGGGTTTGACAGTCATTTGACACGCATTTTTTTTTTCTTTCATCATTCTATCCTGTCATTTGATTGCAATTTTGATAACGAATTATCTTAATATTTGTCAGTGAATTGTTTAAAGACAACGATTTTCCCGCGTCTCCTAATACTATAATCTCAATAAATCCGTGTCCAGCATTCTTTCCCACTGACGGTATTTATTCAGGATAAATAACATTGAAAAAATGTCCACTCGACGGTATTTACATTCGTCGAGTGTGCCTACAGGACACTTGTTCCCTGGGGAAAAAGGAATAATTAAAATGGGTAGAACGGTGAAAAAAAAGTCAAAGGGGGAATTTTTGAGATGTGCCTAACACCTCGAACGTGACTACCGGGTGTCCATTTACGTTTCAAGTCAAGTCTCGGGCAACGAGTTTTCTGTTCAATCTCCCTCTTTTCCCCTCTGAAGAAACCGTTCCACTGGCAACACACACTCAAAATCCCGCGCCTTTCTTCGCGCGATCGCGGTTGCCTGTCAGTTGGCATCCGAGTGCCCATCGGACAACATCGGTACTTGTTACACACCGTTTCACCTTCCACCACATTTTTTACCTATTTTTTTTTTCTCTCGATCTATCATTCTCGAGTGCAGTGAGCGATTTGCAATGTTACGTATCCCCACGGTACCTCGGACAATGAAAAAATAAATTTATCAAACAATGACGAGGAAATGCTGTGTATTTTCATTTGGGATAATTCTTCGCTGTTGAAAAAGCAAAAAGAAGGCTTTTAAAATTGTTGTGATTCAGAGCATAAAATTGCTCGTGCTACCGGTTAAGATAATGACTTGGAAATTATAAAGAGTTACTAGTCCAAAAGTGTAATTCCAGACAATACTATTTTCATCGGGCAATGAGCAGCATCTGATTTGATAAATCGATGCTGCCGCTATCGATTGAATAAATCATCAATCAACGGAGACAAATGAAAATAAATCGAGTATCCCTCTGAAAAAGCCAACTTTCACTGCTGCTTGAACGATCCGATCTCCTTCAATTCAAACGTTATATAAATCCATTTCGTGCACTAATTATCGGTATCTATGGCTCAAGTATTTGACGATACAATGACTACGTGGAGTTTTATCCCGAGAATCGTGAGGAATGTGTACCAGGTGTGTCCCTGTGAAAATCTGAGAAAATCGTAGGACAAGTCGACAACGAGTGGAGATGGGAATGGAATATTATTTGACGATTTGAGTGGGCCTATAGTCATTGTGCAAACATTGACAATTAAAATAGTGAGGCAAGTGGAGAAATGGAAAGTATTAATTTAGTTGTTTCGCGTTTATGTACGCAACAGCAAACGATTAAAATAAGAAACGGTCAGACACAGCAAACTGTAGTGATGGCACCGTCTCACCTCAACGGATCGGCGCAGTTCATTTCCGGCGGATACGTCGGCTACATGCCCCTTCAATCCTGGCCATATCCATCTAACCAGCATCAACAGCAGCAGCAGCAGCAGCAACAGAGTCCAAGACGTAATGGTGGTAGACCACTGTCTCATCCACCTCCTCCACCACCATCAACGGTGTTACAACGCAACAATAATGTCACCAATGGACAGCATCAACTAAAGAGCAATTCACTTCCGCGATCGCGAATTGGCACGCAAACAAAAAGCACGACGCCCTCGGTGAGTCATCTGAAGATGGAGGCAATGATTTCTGTCCCACACGTGCAATAGAGTTTGTACTGCTTGTCCTTCTATAGACATGAGTTGGTACACTCATCGGCCTTTATCGGTGGTAAGGTGGATGATCTATCGGCAATATATCACAAATATTTGCGGTAATCATTGGTGATTATCGGAGAGCCATCACTTTGGACATTTTATTATTTTTATCGATTTTTTAAAAAGTCTGGTATGAGGTGAATTCTCAGAGGTTTTAACGGTATATTCTTGGGACGCGGTGATTATTTCAATGCGTAGATGGTCAGGGAAATGCCGTTTCTCAGGTGGGGAGGGGATTGTGGTGGGTGGGAATGAGGTATTAGGAATGGCACAGCTTAGCATTTACACGATTTCCTAATATGTAGACCATATTTTTTTGAGGTAACTTTATTATGATGGGAGAAAAACTGGTCAAAATTCATATTGAGGAATAGGAGGGAGGGGAAGAAATAGGGCCTTGGACAAAGTGGCCTCGGGGATACGTACAATGGGTTTTTGCGTTAAAAAATTGTAATTGGTATAGTGTGAAAGGAAGAGGAACATTGTTCCTTTCGGTCTCATGTATCTGTTTTTGTTGTAGCCTTCATCAACTCAATGTGTAGCGAATGGGTCAATTAAATGAGATGCAAAAACATTCTCGTTTGAAGTTCACTTTTTCTGAATTGTACTTGAATAATAGCTGTTATATTTTATGCTGGCTACGAAAAAATATGCTGAGTGAAAGACATCCATCTTTTGAATTCAGAGTAAGATAATTGCCCTCAACCCCGTGCATACCAAAGTATATATAAAATATGTTTTGCGCATATTTTTATAGATTTTTCTATGCGGGAAACATTTTCAATATAAAAAAATCCGTTATTTTTAAATTGATCCATAACAATTCTTCAGTTGAGAATACCGATAAACTTTAATGTGCATTTTCTTGATTGACTCACTGAAATATTCTTTGAGGAAAATACTATTCTCGGCCGCCAATTTTCTTCCTGTACAATTTTTTTTTTTCTCAACTTGAAAATGGGTAGAGTAAAATTTTTATCTGCGTGTGGGAAAATTCTTTTCATAATGTCTACAATTGTTTGACATATATTTTGCAAAATGAATGAAACATAATTGCTGTTAAATGCAACCAGTGAATTTACCATACAACTGAGCTTTCGCTTGAGGAAAGAAATAAAATAATTTCAAGGTCTACATAACAGTTTTTAAAGGAAAATTTTTATGGAGTGACTCGTGTTGTTTCCTCTCCTTGCACAGTTGTGCCTTAAACGAGCCAAGGCGAACGGCATTGTTGGCAATCCCATTGATACTTTCGTAATAAACAATGGATAGAAAAAGAAAATCCGAGAGTTTGAAAGATGAAAAAAATCTTTAAACCCACATGGTGATCTTATGAATAATTCTTTTTCTTTTCTGTTCTGTTCTTTGTTTGTGGCTGGTGGCAGAAGGTAGATCCCGAGCTGATATTTACCAAGCAGGAGAGAATTGGAAAGGGCAGCTTTGGGGAGGTGTTCAAAGGGATTGACAACAGGACCCAGCACGTTGTTGCCATCAAAATCATTGATTTGGAAGAAGCTGAGGATGAGATCGAGGACATACAGCAGGAGATTATGGTACTGTCGCAGTGCGACAGTCCATACGTCACCAAATATTATGGTTCCTATCTCAAGGTAATTTTCAAAACTACTTCCGTAATTACTAACGGCCTCCTTCTAAATAATCTCATTAAAATTATATAATACCATTATTAACCATGAAAATGTTCCATTCACATTCTTTTCTAAAGACATCAATTCAGCAGAACTAATATATTTTCTCAGTATAACGCACCTCATTGCCTAGATTTTTTAAAATCCCCTTCTGACGTAGTCTGTGGCCCTTGTAATAACATAAATAGATGAAAAAAAAATGGGACTTGATAATAATGATACGAGACTTATTAAAAATAAATAAATAATCTATTGGCCTTGTCCGGACGATTGATCTAAAAAAAAGTACAACGGTGTATTTTATTCCTGATGGATTATTAACACACGATATGGTCCATATGATACAACAGACTTGAGTCCCCCCCTGGTAAATGCAGCTGAGATAAGTATTGATGGGGGGTACTGGCCCATCCGTGATGCTCGTGGATATAATTATAACGGTGTGCGACGGATGGCACGATTACCTCTACCTTGCCTCACCGAACTCCTCACCACTCTCCACTCGACCCAACTTCTACACACACATTCCATTTTATTTACGTCCTTTTACCTCAACTTGTTCCTCTCATCTTTATGGGGGATTAAAAATTAATGAAACAAAAAAATCTATATCATGAGATATGCGCATTCCAATGAAACTATCTCATGAATATTTCTTCTAAATTATATACAAGCGCATAAGTTTTGGGCTTTTTGGGTGTTTCTTTTGTAAATCGTAATGCGGTGAGAACTTGATTTTTAACGTCTTTGGATTCTCTGAATTTTATGGATCACTGCAATACATATGTGAAATCTGAATTGATGTTGTTGAATTGTTTAATACCAGCGTAAATGTTTTATTCCAATTTTTATGCGTTTTCTCGAGTGCTCTCGAGTTAAAAGCGTCAGCGATATCTGATGGATATTTCTTTTTTTATTCAATGTCTGAGGAACCATTGACCCGATTGGAATTTTCATCGCGTTAAAATATTCGCGGGGATAATACCTATTCATGAGGAGAAAAAGCTGATCACCTTCCTATGACACCGCACAGAGTTATCGCCATTTTTTAACATTTTCTCTGAGCATCGCATGTACGTGGGATGCATTGAAAAATTATTGGCATATCTAACTAGAATTTACAAGCTTTCATTATGTTAAATAATTCGCTATTGGTGTCTGGAAACGATGTTCAAGTCCAACAAGAGATAGTGATATTTTTCGGAGACTATTCTCTGAACTCTCGGCCTCAAGAAAATTACGCGTTAGTTAATAATTGAATAAAAATCTATAATTTCGAAATTGATGAGTCCATTACATCCACTTTAGTGTGTCTCCAGGGGTAGAGTCTTAGGAATCGTGGAATCTCGAAGCATTAACAAAATATTTATAAGAACATTGCTTGTAGCTCGGATTGTACTCTACGAAGATGCCCCCTGGGATGTCCCTATTCCCTTCAGATTTAAAGATACCGAAGAAATGGTTTTGAACTTTGGTTGACCTCTCTCAATACTTGATCGATTGAGGTCATGTCTCCCCCAAATGAACGATAGACAATCAATTAGTACAAACTGCTGAGAAATTAGAGAGGGATTACTCAACTCATATTTTCTTTAATTTTATTCTACGCATTCAAATAATATTCACGATTTTTCATTCAATTCCAGGGGACTAAGCTGTGGATCATCATGGAATACTTGGGTGGTGGTTCCGCTTTGGATCTCATGAAGGCCGGAAGCTTTGAGGAGATGCATATTGCCGTTATTTTGCGAGAGGTACTCAAAGGACTTGATTATCTCCACAGCGAAAGGAAATTACATCGAGATATTAAAGGTAGGATATTTAAATGGATAGCTAGGTGTTAAGTTATCTGTGAGATTTTTTTTTTTTTCACTTGGGACTGTTTTACAGCTGCAAACGTTCTGCTGAGCGAAATGGGTGATGTTAAACTAGCGGACTTTGGTGTCGCTGGACAACTGACGAACACAACGAGCAAGAGAAATACATTTGTGGGGACTCCATTCTGGATGGCGCCGGAAGTCATCAAACAATCGGCCTATGATTCTAAAGTAAATATGACAATATTTTTTATCATCTTTTTCGGTTATGATTTCCTCACCTATGACTCAAATCGCGAAATTTAATTGGACGTGCACATGAAAAAAAAATTCATCTTTACGGTGCAATTGATTTTCACTGCAGAGTCAAGGAGAGAAATATTCCCTCGCGTTTATCGTTTCGTCTCTCTCGGGAATTCATTTCATTCGAATAATGTCTTCCTAACGGGAGCGGGTATTTCATCCATCTACTCTCACTGCAAAATCTTTAATAATGAATTCTGCAGCGAAATGTTAAAAAGAAATGAGTCAACTTACCTCTTCTGTGAGTTTTTCATATATATCTGTGAGACTAAACTTTTTCAAAACAAAGTAGTAAACACGAAGAATACTGTTGTGGAAATTTCTCCCGCAGAGAAATGATAATTCTTGGAAGCCGACTCTAAATAGAAATACTCATTTCCATCCCGTTCTCCTCAATAATGTAAATAACATGGATTTAAAATTTCGTGAATTTATACGAGATGTAAATTGTCGATTGGAGAATAGAAAAATGAAATAGCTTAAAAAATACATGTAACGTCTAATGTCCTCGCGTTTTATTTCAGGCAGACATTTGGTCTCTTGGGATAACCGCTATTGAACTGGCAAAAGGTGAACCACCAAACAGCGAGCTCCACCCGATGCGAGTCCTCTTCCTCATCCCCAAGAACAATCCTCCCCAATTAACCGGAAACTATACAAAGCAGTTCAAAGAATTTGTCGAAGCCTGCCTGAACAAAGACCCCGAGAACCGTCCCACTGCGAAGGAACTCTTGAAATTTCAATTTATTCGTAAAGCAAAGAAGAATTCATATTTAATCGATTTGATTGATCGCTACAAGAAATGGAAGTCCCTGAGAAGCGAAGAATCGGAGACTGAGAGTGAGAACTCTGATTCGGAGGATTCAAAACAGGACAGCGATCTGGACGAACCATGGATAATGACTGTGAAAGGTCCTCACGGTGGAAAATCTCCAATGATGCCGGTTTTAGCTCCCATGGAGGATCAAGCAACATTGAGTAATTCCTTGAGTAATTCAATGAGCAACAGTAGTCCAAATCACAGCACTGATAAGACCCACGCCAATGGTGGAACAACCTCACCCTCTCAAGACCCATTAGAATCGCCAATATTTTATTACAAGAATGAATCGAGAGATTCTTTACGTGAATCTCTACCAAGAGATGACAATACGCCGTCCCAACAGAATCCAATGCAGAGTCCAGTGCAAAAATCAGCTGTTTGGTGTGATACAAGTGAGGATCGCCAGTTCAGAGATTTTAGACAGCAGAAAAAACCACAGGTGCGTGATAATAATACACCTAAGGCTAGGAGAAGCAATTCAAAACCTGATGTGCCTGTTGTGCCAATGGAGGATAAACAGCGACCGAGGAGCTCACAAGAGCCCAAACATGCTCGCAGTCCTACTCTCAATTCACTTCTCTTTCCGCTTCTTTCGGAACTTCAACGCAAGTATCAATATTCGACGAGGGACAATAATGGAGAGGGCACTGGAGGCCGACCTGGTGGTGCTGTTGAGGAATTGAGGAGTGCGTTTGAGCTGGCTGAACGCACGTCCCCAGGAATTAATGAAGCACTCGTTAAGGAAGTTCTCAAGGCCCTCCTACCAACTAATCATTCGGACAGCAGGTTGTCGCTCATCATGGAGAAGATTACTTTAAGGTAAGATTATCGCTTTACCTTTTTTTAAACACGAGATCGCTATTCATTCGGAATTTTTGAGATTCGTTGTCGTGGCTCGGTTCGGCTGAATCGAAAAATTTTCAATTTTCATCAAAATTGTTAACGAGTTCACAACTAAATATCTCTCGGGAGAATAATGATTAGAGAAAGGATACAGATACAGCATCTGTAGAATTAAAAAGGATTTCCGGGACAGTTTACCCTGTATTTTTATCACTGCTGGTTCGCGAGATATCCGCTGTTAAATTGTGCAAGAGTATTCTCAATTTTTATGAAAATTCTTAACAATGTTCAATGTTGAATGTTTCTCGGAGAAAAAATGATATTATGAAAGGAAAAGCCTTTCTCCTTTCTATACTAGGACTGAGATTACGATGACGAGATATCGCTTCAATTCCTCTGTTAAAAATCGGAGAAAATTGTGGATAAAATCACAACTTATCTCGTTGAAATTTGAAAATAGTCAATTATTTTTGGGCCGGATGTGGGCCACTTGTCCCTAATTTACCTATTTATTCTCATAAATAGGTCAATTAGTTTTGGTACTGGTCGATATCCTATTCTAGATGAGTCGTTCCATCTCCAGGAGGAAATGGTTTACCGGAAGTCATTAAGAGACGTTTTGCCTTCATCCGGATTTCAGAATGCTCTCCAAGCATTTTTTTTCTCCAGTGTAACCATTTTCTCGCCGTATTCCTATTGCTTAATTTTTTAAAGATAGCCTAGATTAAACAATTAGAATAGAATTTTTATTTTAATTCGATAACTCGTTATAATCTAGTGATTTTATTTTTGTGATTCTCAGGGATACGTAGGAGAAGGTTTGGACTGAAGTCCGAAAATGACTGTGGATTGAAAGCACCTTGACATTATGAATGGATTCTCGTCTTTTGATTCGAACTCTATAAAATCGGGATATCATCAACCAACCACAAGTGTACTTGTGCTTCGACGAATTCACGAGAGCAATCGTGTGCCAGCGGTCTATCCGAATTCCTGCCTATATTTAAAAAAATGCAAAAATGCAAAAAAGCGAAAAAAAAAACAACAAAACTCCGAGAAAAAAATGTTGAAAAAAATTGAAAAGTTGAGATGAAAAAAAAAAATGGAAAAATGCCTCGGTCTGTCGCAGTTGTTCGTTCGTTTTAAATAATGCCAAGTTCTCCATTTTAATTCCTTTCTTTAGTTGTTTTATGCACTCGTTAATGGGTGAGAGGAAAAGTTTTAGGAACGTTTATCACGTTACGTTTAAACTATAGCAACGACCGAGGCTGTTTATAGAGAAAAAGGAGGCAAAAATCCAGGCATTATTGTACACTGGAAATGAAAAGCCATGTAAATATGTATGTAGCTCGATAAGATATACTTATTGTTATGGTCGACAATGTTCCGGCCGATTTCCCCTTCCCACATTCCCTTCGCGAATTACGTCGCGTACGGGAGGTTTGTTCGAAACTAGAAGAGAAAAAAAGAGTTTAAAAAAGATTTTATAGTGGGAAAATACGTCGACGGACCAGTCGATTTTCCCTCCCTTCCCCATCCCTCAGTTATTGACTTTCTCCTAGTGTTAACTCATCATTTTTTGTTCTATTCCTCTGTTTTACTTTTTATTCTTTTTTTTTGCATTTTCATTTGAGAGTTGATGACGAATTATTAACATGATTGAATTAGGGTGGATTGAGGTGAGATGAGGCACATATGCATGATTACTGAAATATCGAGAAAATAATCCGTGAAAAATTCTTTTGGGTTGTCTCCTTTCGTCGTTTAATTACTCAAATAAACGTAGGCAGTTTAAAATGAGAATAAAAAAGGGTGAGAGTGTAGAAAAATGTCCTCGGACATTACATGGCAGTGAGTTCTATGAGTACCATGTGTAGTATTCCGTAATGAGACTAGTGGATTAGAGAATGCATTAGAAAGAATAATTAAATGAAAAATTTATGAAACAGTAGATAATTGAAGGAAGTTATCATCAATTATTTTATTATCATTCCTACTATGTTGTTAAGGTATTTCGAGGGAATATCACAGAATATCAGCGTCAATGAAATAATTTGTCATTGCTTAACGGTCCTACGAGAATCCTTTGAAAGTTCTAACATTTCCTCTACCCTCTCACCCTCATCGCATTTCTGCTCGTTCTCCTCAATAGCTACTATTCAAAAGGGTTTATGTAGAGGAGTAAATGTAAAGAATTCACATTTTATTTGAACACGTAGATGAATATATATTTTTGTTGATTATAAAATCATCTTGAGTGAGTACTCGCGGGGGAAAAAATGGATTATTTGAGAAATGCTCTTTCACTTTGCCCTCATCAAACTTGTTTCCTAAAACTAATGAAAATTTTGGACTCCATACGTTGGATCTCTACATACAATCTCACTGAATTCCATTTTACTCTTATTTTCTCATTAATTTTCTCTTTGCTCCTTATAAGTGGCCATTACTATTTATTATTTTCCTCGATCATGTCAAGTAGTCTTCACATGAAACAATGCGAAAAATAAAAACAACTAAAGCTCTTCAATATTGAAACCCATCGAATAATCAACAATTGTAATTGAGTCGGATTTAAAAGTCGAGGAGAAGTGAGAATGAGAGAGTGAGAAAAGCTGTAAAAAAATGAAATAGAGACTAACGTGGTAGTAATAATGGGGAAAGATACTGGAGTAGATTTGCAATTTATGTATATATTGTATTTTGCAATCTACGGCTGCGTTGGCATGTATTATATACGGTTAAAGGGGTTCATCCATAGGAGATTCCAGTGGGAAGAAAAAATGTATGATTAGGTATTTCGTTTGGACAGGCATGTACAAATCTTAAAAGAAAATGGGAAAACGAAAATAATAAATCTGTATTGATTCTACTGGTTGCATACAATTTTTCAATTGTTTTGGTAGGAATATTTTTAAATAATAATAAATATGTTTTTACAGATTTTTACAGGAATAATTACCGGCCGAGGGACCGCCGGTAAAAACAAATTTTATCCTCCAAGTTTCTTTGAAGTTTCTCATCTATTATATTAGTTTCGAGTCATAATTTTACCGCCTTTTCAGTTGCTCGACAACCTCCATTGGTTATTGATCTATCTGTGTCTTTTAATTATTTATATTATCCCGGATTGTTAAAAATGCCAGTCGAAAGTTCTTGCAGTATTAAATTTGCGAAACTCTCTGAGAAGGCGTTTGCACCAGTGAGAGGCTCCGTCCAGGCTGCGGGGTATGATCTCAAGAGGTGAGTAACGTTAATAGAATATTCTATCTGCTAATTTAAACATGAGATTTACAACTTTTTTTTTGTTTATTGTTGATTCTAGTGCTTATGAGTATGTCATCCCAGGGAGAGGAAAGGAACTCGTCAAAACGGATCTTCAGATCCAAGTTCCTGACGGAACCTATGGAAGAGTAGCTCCTCGTTCTGGACTGGCCTGGAAAAATCACATTGATGTCGGTGCTGGTGTCATCGATGCAGATTACAGGTATTGCATTTTTTTTAAGAGGAACGTCCATGTTTTCGGGTTTTCTAAAGCCGGTGTTGTTCAATAACACATCTACCGGCGTTTAGAACCGAAAATTTTATTTACAGTGGATATTTTTTCTGCTGCCGATGAATTATCGGTAGTATAGCGGTCGGTAACTTATCGTTATTTAAATGTCGAATTATTGTGTTGTGTATTATTGCAATATTAATTTTTATCAATTCTGTTTCGTTTTATATTTAAAACAATGGTGATATAAAACTGTTAAAGCAACATTAGCCAATTTATGAATTAATGGATTAATGATGTTTTCGGTTCTAGAGGAAATGTCGGAGTCGTGATGTTCAATCACAGTGACTCAGATTTCAAGATATCACCAGGAGATCGAGTGGCTCAGCTCATCTGCGAGAAGATCGCTTATCCTGATTTGGTGGAAGTGAAAACTTTGGATTCCACTGAAAGGGGTGATGGAGGATTTGGGTCAACAGGCACCAACTGATTCGCACAATCTCCAAACACGAAAGAAACCATAAACAACCTGGAATACATCATCTCCGTACTATTTTTTACTGTATTTATTGTTAAAACTATCAATAAATAATTTTTCTACCAAATAAACAATGTGTCTGTTCATTTTCCTGGAAGGTGGGGGGGTGTTCTCTCATAAAATTAGTCATAAGCATAGAAAAAATTAATTGAACAAAATTCCATTTATTAACCCTTAATCTCAACTTTTTAACCCTTAATCTTAATTTTTTAATCCTTGTCTTAACTTTCTGACCCTTAATCTTGACTTTTAACCCTTATTAAGTTAAAATAAATTTTATAGTGAGGTAAAATGGACCAGGAAGGTATTATGGACCAGTATTCTGACTAAATTGGGGTAAGATGGACCAGGAAGGTATTATGGACCAGTATTTGACTAAATTGGGGTAAGATGGACCAGGAAGGTATTATGGACCAGTATTTGACTAAATTGGGGTAAGATGGACCGGGAAGGAATTATGGACCCATATTTGACTAAATTGGGGTAA